AGCACGGGAAAAGATTCTGAACATCATTAGTCACTGGGGAAATGCAAATCAAAACCACAGCAGAATACCACGTACACCCACCAACATGACTGTGACAGAAAGACTCTCATGAGTGTTGGTGAGGATGTGGAGGAATGGGAACTTCCACGCATTGCTGATGGGGCTGCAAAATGGCTCAGTGGCTTTGGAAGACGGTGTGGCAGTCTCTCAAGCCGTGAAACACACAGTTGCCATGTGACCCCGCTGTTCCACTCTTCTGTCTACCCAGCAAAAATGAAAACACGTCTGAACAAAACCTTGTGCATGAATACCAGCATTATGAATAATAGCCAAGGGGTGGAAGCAACCCAAATGCCCATCACCCGATAGTTTACACATGCAGTGCCATCTTATCCAGCCACGAAAAGGACGGAGAGCTGGTGCACGCTCCAGCATGGATGGCCCTTAAAGACGGCACAGTGCATGAAGGAAGCCAGACACAGTTTTGTTACACTGTGTTGTGATGGCTGTCAGATCAGCTGGTGAATTCTGGTGTAGCCATTTTAATATTGAAGGTGGAAGAAAATAAGGAACTTTTTCATCCATATGCTTTTATTATTTCAAGAAAGTTAAAAATGCAACTGAAATGTAAAAGGATTTGTGCAGTGAGTGTGTGGGGAAGGCGCTGTGACTGATCCAACGTGTCAAAAGTGATTTGCGAAGTTTCGTGCCGGAGATTTCTCACTGGACGATGCTCCAAGGTCGGATAGACCAGCTGAAGTTGATAGCGATCAAATCAAGACATCAATTGAGAACAATCAACATTATACCATGTGGGAGGTAGCCAAGATACTCAAAATATTCAAATCAGTAAACTTATTGGTACACATGAAAAATGCATCTTTTACGGAAAAAACTAAATGAACTTTTTGGCCAACCGAATACCCACCTAAATTCTCCCAGTTGTGTGCTGAGATCACAGGTAAGAAGAGTCACAGCAGCGATATGAAATTCAAAATGACATGAAGTAATAGAATATTTACTATAAGTATTTCTACTGTATATATTACCTGTTTTTAAAAAAGCAAACAGGGGGAAAAAAAAACAAAATTCAGGAGAGTGGGATGGAAGGGAACTGGGGAGCCTCACAAGGGATACCGGGTGATGGGGTTTCTTCCCTTAAACTGGATGGGGCGGTGCAGCGTCTGTCGGGGGGCAGGGCGGGGCAGGGAGGGGCGGGGCTTGCCAGGGAGATGTTACCGCGTGACATTGAAGGGAGATTTAGACAGACTCAAAGCTGTTGTTCCTTGCACCTCATTATTGAATGCTGATGATGCTAACCCTGAGTTTCTAGAAAAGGTTAACCCATTTAGCATCTTCTACTTAAGAAGCAGAAGGGATAAAATCCAGAAAAAATAGAAAAGGAAGAAACTAAAGGAACTACACAAAACAGCGGCAGCGGAACAGGAGTGTCCTAGAAAGGTTTCCAGTCAAAGCTAAGATGAAAAGTTTTCTACTTTAAGGCCAAATTCATTTGTGTGGGCCACAGCGTCTTTATTCTTCGGTGATGTTAGCTGAACCAGACACGGCTCTCATTTCGGTCGCTCAGCGGTTGCTTTTCTCTCTTTAGATCCTGCTCCCGCTAAGAGATGAACCACAAGCACGCGGAGGAAGACCCAGCAACTAATCCTCTACTCCCAGGCGTGTGGCGGGGGGCGGAGCATCCACCAGCGCCGCCCGCGGCCCTTCGTATTTTTTTTGCTGCCTTGGTCCCCAGAGCTTTGGAGCGGAAGTGGCAGTAGGTTGTTGCCAATGAGCCAGTCCAGACTTGCACTGAGAGGACAGGAAAACACATCAGCTGGATCCTGATGGAACTTGGCAGTGGGGACGTTCAGCGGACGCGTTACCTACCCCGGCAGAGCAGATGTATCTTTTACCCCTCCCCCTCCCCAGCCTGCTTAGGTCTTCTCAGCCCCTCTCCTGCTACCACACAGAGATGATATAAAAGAGGCTCTTTGGCTATTTGCATTTTGCTTCCTCTTCTTTTCCAGGTTGCAGTATTAAGCTTTACTTCCTACAAGCCTAAAATCCCACCGGCATTATCTACCAAAGCTGTTCTTCCCTTCTCCGAGGGTTTGGGGAGAAGAGGGAAGCTCCCATCACACGTCTCCCTGAGGGTGGAGACTAGTAGGTGTGTTGCTGACCACACGAGCCACGGTAAAGGCACCCTTTGGAATTACTGATTTCTAAAATTAATAAAGTAATTCTATTTTTATTTTCTTTTTTTTTTCCATTTACTAATTTCCCACGAATCAGTGTTCACCAACGAAACTAAAATGGGAGCAACTTCTCATTTTATTTCATTGCTGGGCAATTTTTTAGGCTTCGTTTTAGAAGTGTGAGCTGTACGGAGGCGTTTTGTTCCTGGACCTCATTTCAGCCGGTGGCAGGTTCGGGATGCTCCCCGAGGGCGGCTCCTGCGCCTGGAAGGCTGGTCCGTGCAGACGTCCCATTCTCGGCCGCAGCCTGCGGGCCCTCCCGTGGCGCGTGAGCCTGTGTCCCCGTGCAGATTGTTGGCTTGAACAACCCTCGGTGGTGTTGCAGCGATGCCCCCACTGCTTCCTGCCGCCCGGCCTCCGCTCCCGCGCTTCCTCCCCTCCCCCAGGCCTCCCGTCTGGCTTCTGCCGCAGAAAAGGTTACAAGGCGGGCAGCGGAGTCCGCCAGAGGGCGGACTTAGCTGCCCGAGGGGAGCGCTGGGTGCGAGTCCCATCTGGGGTGTCTCCAGCAATGTGCTGGAGACTCGGCATCGAAACCCTAAAAGAAAAGTGACACCCCAAGAAGCAGAGAGCGAAGGGACTCTGCTGCCTTTGCAGCGAAGGAGAATGAAGGTTCGAGCCCCTCGCAGCGTTTTGTTCGCTTGTAAAGGATGAGGTCTAGCAGTGGCAAGAGAAAGGAGAGGATGTTTTCCAGATGTTGCCGGGACTTCTGGTTGGTAGTTTGAGGGCCGCCTTCACTGTTTGCGGTCCTGGTTGTGAATTGGTTAGGAGACCAATGAGACTTCCTCCAGAGTCCCCTGCTGCTGTTCAGAATGGGGAAATGAGGTGTCTGGGGAGACGCCCCGTGCAGACCTAGGGAGAAAGGGTAAGAGGGTGTGAGCCAGTAAGAACGTGTAGACCAGCTAGAGCGCTCGGAATGGGCCCAGGCTCGTCGTCAGAACGGAAGCCTGGGACTGGGCTCCCTGCTCTCACCACGTGTTGGTCGTGTTGGTCGGGTGTGAGAGGAGGCTCCGCATCCCTCCCTCCACGCACGCAAGCACGTTCAAGTCATCGTTAGGGGGTCAAGACTTCTCCCGGTAATGCATCAGGCAGGTCACGTGATCCCCCTCCAACGGCAGTGGCGTTTTCATCATCCCTCCTCACCCTCCCCGAAAGCAAGCGAGTGTGTTTGCAGAGGGACGGGCAGGTGTCGAAGTTCCACAGTGCCTGCAGCGACGGGCAACGGGGCGCTGGGCGTCAGGCCCCCCCACCCGGCCCGTGTTTGCGCTGTGGGTCGGGATAGAGCGTAGCTCTGACATGAGAGCGTTTGAAGTTGCAGTGTTTCCTCTTCTTTGGAATACTACTGGAACCCTTCTTGTTGCCTTGGGTCATTAGGATGAAGCACAGGCAGTGTTTTCATCGTGTGCTGTGAGGTTGGGTAAGAAGGAGAGTTTACTGTAGGACCACAGAGTGATTTCCCTCGTATTTAAGCCTCAAGGAAGGGCCCACAGTGTCTGGTCCCATACGCTGCTGCTTCTCAAAAGGTAGTTTCCAGCAGCTTGGATCCTGCCCCAGGCCTAAGACATCTCGAGCTACAGCCTGAAATTGTACATTTTTAATAAACACTTGGGTGATTCTCATGTCCATTGCAATTTGAGAATGACAGCCACAGTGGATTAGACTCTGGAAGCTGGGAGAGCAACGGCCTGTGCCCAGCAAGCTGGGCACGCTGCACCCCCTGTCTGGGTCCACCAGCCTTGGGCCAGATGGGACAGGACACTCCCTGCCGTGGCTGGAGGGCAGGGGCAGGTGCCTCTCAAGTACAGCGGGAGTAAACGGATGCCACATGCGGTGAAGGCTAAGAGAGGCACCCTCACAACGGGCGGGGCATGGACAGCACAGGAAAAACGTCCTGGGGACCAAACTCGGGAGCACAACTCGGGAGAACTCCAGAAGGAGCAAGCTACGCACACCCCAACATGTTTTGTACCCATCCTTTGACCTGCAGATTTTCGCTCCAAATAGACCTTTATAAAGAAAAAAAAACAATAGCACAGTGACTTCCACAGAGGAACATGCTTTTCAGGAGCTGCCGGTGGCTCTTCACTCGTTGCAGATGGCTGCTTCAGGGGCACTGACACCAGGGTAGACTCCAGCACCGCTCTGGGGTCCTGCTTCCCCTGCCGGCTCCCGTTCCCACCTGCCTGGCAAGAGGCCCGATGCCTGAAAGTGGTTGCTGGTGAGCTGTTTCCAGGCTGAACCTGACAGCAGACTAGGCCTCTTACTCGTCGGCCATCTGCCCAGTCTCCCTAGTTCTCCGACTTGGAGGGTGAGATGAGACTGTCGGAATGATGGTGTCAGTTGTTTATAGTGAGTGTGCAAACCAACACGTTTCCACATGCAAAGGTTCATGCCTGCTGGTTCTGCCCACAGTTAAATGGAGGTCAAATTCATATATTGCACCTTCTGCAAATCCGAGCCACTCCCTCTGTGTGTCTGAGAATAACACGCCATGAAGAAAGCAGGGAACACAAGTGACAGTGCCATCTTCTCCGATGGCAGGTGGCGGCACAGTGGGCCAGGGCTTTCACACTAAACGGTGTGTTTACCTTTGCGCTTCTCTGCCCCAGAGTCCAGTTACCTCCGATGAGCAGATATGGACGTGAATTAAAATGGTAAGTGAGGATGTTTATCAAGTCAGAGGTACATCTTAGAAAATAAGGTTCTTACTAGAAACAATTTTCCAAAAGATGAAATGACCCAAGATTCCCCAAAAATATTTATTTATACAAAGATTTTGAGAGTAATATTTGTATTTGTCTGTATACCTCAGTCTACGCGTCTGGGGCCAAGGCATTGCATAGCGCACACATGCAGCTCCCCCGCGCGCCCGCACGCCGCGCCTGCTTCCAGGAACACCAGGTGGGCACAGGGGCCTGGGGGCGGGGGGAGCTCTCAATGCCCCGAAGGCTGCACAGACCCCAAATTCAGATATGCGTACCCTGACCTGGAAGGTGTCTAGCCAAGTGTCCAAGGGGAAGTATTTACGATGGAGGAAGAAGGCGAGAGGAGGCACCCAGAGGGCGGACAGGAGCGGGTTGATTCTCACCTTCTGCTTCTGAGTTCAACATATCCGTAGGGCCCAGCATAGCCAAGCGCCCCGGAACTGCATTACCTGCACTTTTCCCTGTAACGACCCTTGATGCTGACTGATGTCAAGAGGGCAGTTTGCAAAAACAACAGATTTGTCCTTCCTCCCAGGCGGTATGAGATACGACACTGGGACCACATCTCGGTAACCTATCTGAAGAGAAATGCGTGCCGTGCGCAGTGTGATCCAGATGTCCTAGGGCGGATGTGGGGCAGCGCCGAGCAAATCCGACCTCAGGTCGGAGGTGTTTTCCAGTCTGGCCCTCTCCCGGCCATTCTCTGCCCTGCCTCCTCCCCAGGTGTCCCCAGTCCCATTGCTGCACGACTTGTCAACTTGCCATCCCTCTTCCTCTGTCCCCACCACCTCTGTCCACCTCACAGAAAAAATCCGTGTGTTCTGAAGAGTCCGGCCTTCCTCTAACCAAATCCACACTTTCCTTACCACAGTGATTCTCAGAGCCAGCAAGAAAGAAATGTTCCAGGAGGGAACCTCCGACCTAGCCTTTTGCCTGCTGCTGCGGGTCGCGGGCGCCAGGCCTCTGGGTGAGGTCCGTTGCTTCCGTGCTCTCCCGAGGAGCAGGCAGCCAGGCAGCCGCAGTTCTCGCTCCTTCTCTCTCTGTCGCAGGCGGGGTCTCAGCTACACTTACAGGACTTCACCACCATGTTAGAGAGGTGTTCCACCTTGGGGGTCCTCCCGACGTAGTACAGGATGGTCAAGGGCTCCAAGTCCTGGGGCACGCAGCACGGGGAGGCAGACGCTTCGGGGTTCAAGGTGTTGTACAGGCCCAGCACCTGGGGAGGAGGCAGCGTTAGAGGTCGGGGAGCCCCCTCGCCCCCCACCAGCCTGGCGCCCTCCACAAGCTCCAGGGGCTGCTGCTCCGGAGACAGAGCACGTGGCAGACACTCGCCCAGTGGAGGATGCAGCGCATCTATGCTTGTTTGACAGCTTCAGCATGTTCCCAGAGAATGAGGGCCTTTACATTGATAGTGGAGTTCTGTCTGTGCTAAGAAAACACTGCTCTATCGCTCTTCCTGGCTCTAACTAGTCACTTTGGTGAGAAGCGTTCTCACCAAACCTTGCCGTGTGGTAATCACCTAGAGTGTGGGGCCCCAGGCAAGATGCAGTGATAATGAGCTCTAAGAAAATGTGCTTCATAAATGTCTGCCCTGGTTCTGATTCCCCCTCCAGGGGAAGACAAGCTGGTTTCAGAGTCATGGGCTTCCCTCTCTCTCCCCTTTTCTTCCAGTTGTTCCATTTAGCTTCTGCGTGCTACACATTTTCTTTCAAAGTGACTTCACTACACGCAAGAACAACCACAGTTCTTGCACTGATGGCAGAAGCCATTCCGCCCCAACATTCCGTGCCAGCCCTGTGCACACATTTCTGACACACGGGGCAGCGAGTGATAGCTAATTTTCAGAATGGTACAAAGGCTTTAGAGCAAATAAAGAGTCTGGCTGGGTACTTCAGTTGGCTAGAGCATCATCCCCACACGCCAAGGTTGCGGGTTCAGTCCCCCTCGGGGCACGTACAACGATCAACCAATGGATACGTAAACAAGTGGAACAACAAATCAATGTTTCTCTCTTTCTCTCACACTGTTTGCCACCCCCCTTTCTCTCTCTAAAATAAAAAAAAATTTAATGGAAAAAGGTCTGGTTGAAACTATGTAAGAAATTATAAAGGGTAGAATGTGCCCAAGTAGAGTTGGGCCAGGGTGCCAAGATCAGAGCCTTCACCAATGAGCAGGATTTTACTCCAGCTCATTGTTCACCGTTCAGCATTCACTCCTGCAGGCACCATTGTAAACCAGTGGCCTGGCCGACTCCGACCCCATGCTCCCTGCTGCTTGAGCCCCGCCCCATACCTTGCTGTGGGTCGTGTCTGCACTGCGGAGGTATGGGCAGGGGCCTGAGCAGAAGTTGGCGTAGTAGCCCTTAGGTTCGTGGACCCATTTCCAGCCCAGATCCTGGCGGAAGTCGATGTAGAGAGGGCGCACACAGCAGTTCTCTTCCACATTGCTGCAACACAAAACACGTCTACAGAAAACCAACCCCAGAGCAAACCACCACAGTAAGTGACTTCACAAATGGCCCTCGTGTTTGCACTCTGGTCATCGTCAAGGGGTGGTCTAATCAATGCGACCCCAGGTTCAAGTGTGTTGAACTGTATAGGCTACAAAAGCATTGTCTGTGTTGAAGACCATGATCCCAAGGACTTAACAGGAAGATACAGATGATGGGGATGAGAAAAAAGGCAAAGGGGCCCGGTACTTTAGAACACGAGGACTGTGCAGAGGCTTCAGCCAAGACCCGCCATCCGAACCATCTGAGCAGCTCTCTCTCTCTCCTCCTGGCGTATGGACTTCCTCCAGGGCCTCAAGGAGCAGGGCCGAGGAAAAATGGGGGGGAGGGGCACGGGTCCCAGAGCAAGAGAGATTTGTAAGAGGTTTGAAATCTCTTTCCCTGGAGATGTCTGTGAATAGCATCAGGGCCCCTCAGGTGGGTGTGGCTTAGACCGGGGGCCGGCCCCATGGCAGGTACACAGTTGAGGTGGTCTTGGGAATTCACAGATCCTGAGTGGGCCCAGGCTCACCTAAAGCAGTAATTGGTGTCCAGGGCCCGCTTCTTCCTCTGCCCACCCTGGCCCCCATTGTCGAGCCGGTGTGGGGGGATCATCATGAGGATTAGATGAGGGTTGTGGTGGTCCTTCTGCTTCCTGAGGCGTCCCAGATCCCCACGGCCATGATCATCCTCGCTGTCCACACCTACAGGAGGGAAGGCAGAGTGGAGGCCGCTCTCTCACCGCTTCCCATCACCTCCCGGGAGGAGCGACGGTGTGGCCTGCAAGGATGGGAAAGACTGGGGGCAGGGGGTGGCACCAAAAGAACCCACAGGGCACCCCTGGTTGGGGCCCTCGTGACCCCTGCATGCATTCATCTTCCAGAGGGCAGCGAGCCCATCCCGAGAGTCCCCTGGGGCCTTCAGGGACTCACGAAGCGCCTCTCTCACTGGGTAGCCACCTATCATCCCTTCAGGCTGCTGAGTTTTAAATTCTGGAACTTAGGAAGCTTGTCCTGTGTGCCTTTCCTCTTCTCATCTGAACTGGCCGAGACAGCGCGGAAGTCCCCGCTATTATTTAAGGTGTCACAATCTAAGACATCCTGAACGGAAGCCAGAGGAACGAGACTGAATCATCATTCCCTTCTCATTGGACTTAACAGTTTCAAAAACGTTTTCACTATAAAACTCAGATAAAAAAATAAAAACTCAAATGAGCTAACAAAGTGTACGATAAATGGCTTAGCTAACAAACTCTGGAAAGAAGACCCGCTGTGTCCTCTGGGAAGGAAAGGGCTGAAGACTGAGTTAGCAAGGGTCTCAGCTAAGGGGAGACCTATTTTGTGACGGACAGCCGCCAGCTGCGTCCACCTCCCCGCGGGCCGGGCCCCGGGGGTTTGATGCGGGAGTCCGGGGAGGGCCTTGCCCTCCCCACCTGGGGGCGCTGGTCTGTGAGATGAACCAAGGCCTGGTTTACGATTTCTTTTCCTGAAAATCTTTACGAGCAAAACTGAAGGGGAAGGATTTTGTCCTAACCTGGCCTCTAGGTAAGGATCGCAAAGATCTTCTGAGCTCTGAGATTCTGTAATTAGGATGTCAAGTGCTTGGCTTTAAAAAAAAAAAAAGGCTCTCGCCCTGACCTGTGGCTCACTTGGTTGGGCATCATCTGGGCATCATCCTGCAAAGTGAAAGGTCACGGGTTCACTTCCTAGTCAGGGCACATGCCTGGGTTGCTGGTTCGGACCCCGGTCAGGGCATACAGGAGAGGCAACTGATAGATGTTTCTCTTCCCTCTCTTGCTCCCTCCCTCACCCTCTCTCTAAAAATATATCAAATCTTTACAAAAATAAAAAATAAGCTAAAAAAATTTTTAAAGGCTCTGAAATAGAGCCGCTGCAGGGTAACAGGACTGCCCGGGGCAGGGAGCCAAGAGAGGGCCGCACCCTTGTCCAGACCAGCCTCTGACCTCAGGCTCCTCTGACTGGTGGGTGTGACCCTGAGACCCACCTGGCCTCAGGTGGGCCTCGGTTACCCGAAGCGGGACCATGACAGGAAATGACGACCTCCTTGAATCCAGACTGTCTAGGTCGAGCGTCTCAGAAACACATCAGAAAACCAGAAGTGACGCTCAACTTCTAACCCACTCAGCACAAACACCGGGAGCCCTGAAGCAGTCAGTCATTCCAACCCTGACGCCCCCTGGGTGCAGAGCAGGTGGGCTCTGTGACCGCTGGCTGGCCAGGGGTCAGGACCCTCGGACTAGTGTCCACCCACCACTCTCTTCTTTTAGGAAAGGGAAGGATGGCTGCTATTTGCTGAGCATTCCTGGCCCTGTGTGAGACGCTTGTTATCTCATTTAATCTGCATAACCACTGGGTGAAAGAGGTCCTCTCGTTCACGGGACGTGAGCGCAGAGAGCTGGCACCGCTCACCTACAGGACCATACTGCTCTGACCAACTCGGCTCTGCCTTCCGGTGCCAACGTGCTCTCCAGGCCCAGAAGCTGGAAGCCACACTCCTCACTTCGGGAGCAATTCCATGCCCTCAAGGCCTTGGCCGTGCAAGCCAGGGCAGCACGGTTGGCCGTCCCTGTGAGGGAGCTCGGCTCCTTTCCCTGGGGCCTGGTAGGGGTCCCCCGTTCTATCCACGTTGTTACCTTTGAATTTGATTTCCATCACCTCGTGAATGTTTTCCAGGATGTCTCCATTGGGCTGAAAGGTGTGGCAGGGACAATGAATGCTGATTTCCAGACCTAAGTTGGACTCTGCAAAATAAGACACGGAGTTGCTGAGAAAAGGTCCTTGTGAGACAGAGATGTGCACCCACCGCGGGCATGGCAGTGCCGGCACCTCTGTGGCGGCAGGCAGAGCGAGTGGACCTGTCCCGAGGGGCCCCTCGGACAGAAAGGGAGGCCGAGCCAGAAAGGGAGGCCGAGCGCGTGCCTTCCCACTCGCACTGGCACACGTCAAGTACTCCTGGCGGCGTAAACTGGTGGGGGATCCGGGAGGAGAACTTCAATACTCGCTCATTTTCAAAGGATGGTATTAGCAAAGAATCGTCCCCTGCCCTACCCGGAAGCAAAAGAACGAGGATGCGGGAAGGAACAGTCACACCATCTGTGCTTGATGGGAGAGGAGGCGTTCAGGCCACGGAGGAGGGGAAGAGGCCGAGGGGCCGGGAGAGACCCGGGAAAGGGGAGAACCGAAGAACTCTGGGGTGGAGAGGCAGTGGTTCGAAGGGCCCCAAACTCAGAGGGCCACAAGGTGGGGAGGCAGGTGGCCCAATCTGGGCCGCTGGGTTAAAAGCCAGGAGCAATGTCAGAGCAAGGTCAGCTGCGAACCAGCAGCACGGTCAGTCGAAGGGGAGGAGGCCAGCATTTGGGCCAGGGCTGAGGCTGCAGGTGTAGAACGGTAGATGCCAAAGGGAACAAAGTGAAAACCAGTTACACTTGGCTGTATTTTCCTTAAGGAACAAGGACACGGGCAGGTAAAAGTTCCTTGGAGGTTTCTTCTTTTGGGAATCCTTGTTCACCTTAACAGAGATGCCAGGAATGTGGCAGGCTCACTGAGGGAGACGAGCGGCTTGGGAAGACAGTTGTGACACCGGAGCTCGGGCCAGAGGAGACAGCAGAGGCCCGTGGCCGAGGGTCCAGGCAACAGCAGCACGGAGAGAAGGAGCCTGAGGACCCGTGTGCCGGGGTTTGGTGGCTCACGTTCCGAGGCGAGAGGCCGGCCCTGGCCCTTTCTCCTGCTAGCTGTGGGACCCGGTGTTTGGGTAACCAAGACTGGGGAAGCAAGGAAATTAGTGAAAGGGGCTGAGTGAAGTGGAAGAAAAAAGAGGGGGAAAACGAAGTGAAAAATTTGAGCTGAAGCCAGTCGTTTTGTGCAGGAAACCGGAGAGGGCCTGGTATCAGGTCAGTTCTGGTGGGTTCGACAATCAGGGACTCTTGACCGATCCAGGAGCAGCAGGGGTTGGGTGCAGGAGAGGTCATGCGGGGGAGGACCCCTCTGGGCTCAGGGTCAGTGTCTCAGGAAGCTGGTTGATGCCCATCCTCTGAGGCCACCCTAATTCTATGAGAACCTCCAGCCTTGGGCCCCACCTGGAGTCCCACTGAACTCGGGTGTCATCGGGGAAAACCCCAAAGAGTCCAGGCCTGCTCTGCATCCTTCTCACAGACAGAATGACCCCCGCCCAGAGAGTCTAGCAACGGTTAGGCAGACCTGGATAGTCCCAGTCCTACTGGGTAAAACCAGTTTAACCCCTCCTTCCATCAACTCAGAGCACAGCCTCTGGGATACGCTGGTGCCAGCTGAGCTTGAAGATTTCTGTCCCAGAAAGTCAGCTCGCAGGGACCATGTAACAAGGAGCTGGAGTCCCCGCCAGAGGACAAGAAGGGAATAAAAGGGAGGCATATGTGGTGTAAGGAAGCTAAAGGGGGCTGGAGCCACTGAAATGAGCTATATAACTCATAGTACTCTTCCCATTACCCAGGAGGGTTGCAGGTAAGCCGGGAGAGACCTACAGTGGTGTGAGTTAGAAGGTCAAGGTGCAGACGGACGTGTAGGGAGGAGTTAGGGTTAGGGGACAGGTGTTAAGTGGGAGATGACAGCCTGGCTCGGCCAATAGGCTCTGTCTAGGTAGAGGGCTCAGAGAGCGACGACAAGACTCGCCAACCTTCGCTGAGCATTACTGCACGTCAGGCACCACTCTGAGACTTCCCCGCATGAACTCACTTAATCTTTAGAATAACCCTACAGAGTGGGAGCTATTATTGTGCCTCATTACGCAGATCCGGGGACGCTGAGGCTTAGGGAAATGAAATGGCTTTTCCAAGGTACTCAACCAGGAACTGTTAGTGCCAAGAATCAAACCCAGGCAGCCCGATGCCAGAGCCTCGCTCCTAATTGTCAGAGACAAAGACAGAAAACAGAGGCCAACTGAGACCACCAAGGAAGCAAGGAAGCTGCCCACACACTCACTGAGTTGCAAAACGGTTCTGTTTTTCCAGTGCCCCGCCAGACTGCATGCTGGGCGTGCTCCCCGCCCTGCCCTGCCCTGCCCTCTAGGGAAGGCCTGGCTCTGCACACAGAGGAAACGCAGATGGGGCGACGCAATAGCTCAGGGGTAAGAGGGCCCTGGACCTGAGCCCTAGAAGGGGGCTCCAGCCAGCTCCGGGACCCAGAAGGCAGTTTGGGAACTGGCATGCAATAGGCTTTTGCACTCAGATGACTGCCGAATGAATGCCAGACCAGATGTGTGACTCAGTTTCCTCTTTGGTCCACATCACCAACTCCATTTGGAGTACATTCACTGCCTTGTTTGGGGCCACAGCCTCTGGAGAGGCCCATGAGTTCTGCGTAAGTAAAGGCCTGTGTCTGACCGCCCTGCGCAGGGCACGGGCAGCGTCTGCTGAGAGAGAGCGAACCTCAGAACTGGCAGCAGTGGGGCAGGTGGGTGGGGGACCCGCAGGTTTTATTACGAAACTATCTTTTTGATGTCTCCAAGAGGATGGAAATCATTCTGAATGCAAACTGCTCATTGAGTTCTGCAGCTGTGAAAATAGGAACTCCTTCAAGTGCTCAGGGCTGCGAAGAAATCCAGGTGGAGCTGATCAGAATCAGACAGGGAAGTGAAGAGATTAATTTCCCGGCCTCTCCTCTCCGCAGCCACGTCGGGCTCCAGGCGGAGTGCGGGCTGACTCAGAACTCCCAGCAGTGCTGCTGTCAGCAGATCCACGCGGGCCCTCCTAGGCTTTCGCCTTCCTGTTCGGCAAGGGAGAGAGGATGGAACTGCCGGGTACCCTTGGGGCTGAGGCAGGACCTCCGGCCCACGAGCTGCCAACTCAGCCATTAGGTAATGTCCCTTAGATGGGGACTCGCAAACTCGGCCGCCTACGGAGCCCGGCAGGTTCTGCGAGTGGGCGAAGCAAGCCGGCATCTCATGCTAAGTGAGGACCGCCAGCCTCACTCTTGGGGGTCACTGGGGGAACGGTGGGGCCCAGGTGACATGAAGACAGTGTGCCCCACCTCACGAGGCGGCCACTATTGATCTCCAACAGATCATTACCAGGAAATCTTCCAATTTTTCAAGAAAAGCCAGAAGTCTAGGTTTTATGTGAAATCTTCTGATTTTAAAAAAGCAAACCCAAAACTGTTGACCACTAGTTAAATTGAAAGCAGTGGGGGGAGGGGGAGGGGGCCTAAAATGTGGTGACAGAAGACGGTCTGACTTGAGGCGGTGGGCACACCGTGCGACATTCACAGATCCAGTGAGACGGGACGGGCACCGGAAACCCGTGTGCTCCCGTTAACCAGCGTCACCCGATGCAGTTCACTGACAACACTGACGGCAATCTGTGGGCCAAGCCATTAGCAATCTCTGCCTTGGAGCTTTGACCCCCAGTTTCCTAAAACACCGAGGACAAGAAAGGACCCCCCTGGCCCAGGGGCCCCAGCGCTCAGTCCGTGAGCGGACTGTGGCTCCGAGGCAGCTGACAGCAGCAGGAATCTCTCCACAGAGGGAGAGCAGGGGCACGTGGGGCCATCACAGGTCCGCCTGCCCACCGAGCACGGACCAGGCAGTGCCGCCGGGCACAGAAACAGCGGGGCGCAGTGTCCCAGGCACCGCGATGGCTGGTCAGGAGACTCCAGTTCTCGTCCAGGCTGCGGGGCCTTGGTCAGATCTCCTAACTTCTCTGGGCCTCAGTTTCCTTATCTGACCCAATAAAGGTTCACTGTCGTGGAACAGGCTGAAAGCAGGGAAGGAACCATTCTCCACCTGACTTCCCAGGGGAGGAAGCAGTGGGTGGGGGGGGAGGTACTTGGGACGTGTTACATGTGCTACGTCTAGCGACCAGCTCTGCTCAAATGGCTACCAGGCCTTTCAAGCTTAATCGGCCGAAACAGAACCTTCCCCGAACATACTCTCCTCCCAGCCTTCCTGGTGCCGGTGAGTGCCGCCACCTGGGTGTTCAGGCCTTGGAAGCCAGCTGGAGTCCTCTTGTGTCCTCATACCTGCCACACAATCCACTTGTCCTATTGGCTTTCCCTCCGAAATACAGAAGAGATTCGTATCACCTCCAAACCCGCCGCTTCCGCCCCAGCCCAAGCCCCTGGAGCTCTCATCCAGGCTGCTGCGAGGCCCTATCTGGTGTTCCCGCCTCTTCCCTTGACCTCGTGGCCACCAGAGGGCTGGGGGCGGGGGGCATAAAACCAGTCGCCTCACCCTGTAGCCCCAGCCCCAGCCCTGCTCACAAGCCTCCTAGGACATCTCATCTCACTTGGAATAAGTCCTTAAACCTGTTGGTGGCCTGGCAGGCTCAAAATCATGTGGCCCCAGCTACCCTCTGACCCCCAGCAACCTGGGCTCCAGTCGCACCAGTCTGTCTGCGGCTGCTGGAGCAAGTCAAGCCAGTTCCCACCTGGGGCCTGGCCTTGCTGTTTCCTTTGCCCACAGCATCCCATCATCCTGACTTGAGCGGGCTGGCCTCTTGTCATCCCTTGGGTCTCAGCGCACAAATTCCCTCTTCATAGAGACCCTCCCTGAGCATAAAATGTCATTGTCACATTGCCTGCTTTCTGTTCTTCCTGGGACTTACCACTCTCTGAACTTCTTATTCATCAGGATGTTTATTTATTATGTGTCTCTCCCACCAGAACAAAAGCCCCATAAGATCTGGGAACATATCTGTCTTGTTCACTGTTAGATCCAGGATGTGGCTTGGAGTGAGCATTTAATAAATACTAGTTGAGCGAATGAATGAAGGACACCCAGAGAGTCAGTGGCAAAGCTAGACCTTACCCCCAGATCTGGGACTCCCCTAGTTGTCTTCTTCCCTCTGTTTCATGAAGGACCAAGGGACCCCAGGTTCCATCCGAAGTGCTCATTCTAAGAGTCACCCTACCTCTTCTTGAGAGCCATTCACGTACGGTTTCAGTGACATCGAAAGACAGCCACTCGGCGGTGCCCCGTGTGGGCAGATTCTTGCCACCAATATAGCGTTGCTTGGCAATGTGCTCATCTGGCCGGAGTATCTATAGGGCAAAGAGAGGAGTGAGTACCCCCAAGCTATGTCCCAGCGCTGGGGGGCAGGCGAGGGGAGCAAGAGGAAACCAAGAGCTTCCGAATGCTTCTCCCAGCACTTTCGTTAACTCTTAATCCTCTTAATGCCAGACAGACACAAAGCCTAGAGAGGCAGGACTCACACCCAGGCCTGCCAAGCTCTGTGTGGAGTAGAGGCCCAATATGGCGAAGGAGGTGGACTTCCCAGCTGGTCTCTGTTCGGGGAGGGGCTCACCTGGAAGAGCTCGATCCTCTGCTCGTTGCGCTTGGAGCTGGGGTTGGGCACTCGCAAGACCCGGAATTCTGCTCGGAATAGGTTGGTGCCATTCTTCTCCACGGAGGACACGTTGAAGCGGAACACCTTGGAGGTGATTCCTTTGGGGCAGACGGCCAGCTCGTCTAGGAAACAAGGCAGCGGGGAAGGCACAGCGTGAGCGAGGCCCACGGGAGCAGTGCAAGGCCAACGGACACTCGCCGAGGGGCCAGGGTCCCACCTGTGACCTTTCCAGAGGCTTGACACCTCAGACCTAAAAGCGGAGATGGGAAGAAGATCCTCGGTGGCCGGGGGATCACACACAGACCTGAGAGAGGAGTGGAGAGACCTCACAGCCCCGGGGTGTGGCGCAAGACCGGCCACCCAACCGTGGTCCGTTGACCGTGATCTGCTGTGATCTTCCCACTGCCTCCTCACCGGCCCCCACGGGCTCTCCAGACCGGCTCCTCCTACTCTTTTAGAAAAGACAGACTCTCGAAAGATCCCAGTGTGTTCCCCCTGGTTAATTGAGCCATCTCACAGCTAGTGGGTTCCTTCGTTCACAGGATTGCTCACTCAGGCAGCCATTCACGCATCGGACGTGTGCTGAGCGGACACTATGTGCCAAGGACAGTGCTAACGCCAAATGCAAATGAAGAGACACGGCCCCTGCCTTCAGGGAGACGGACACACAGACGAGGTTATTAATACGTGGGCCCAAATAACAGGACCAGAGGGAAAGTGCGGAGGGCTTTTGAAGAAGTGCAGGAGCTGCTGCAAAGAGATTGGATGCGGAAGAAAGCAGAGAGCACTTCATGGAAGAGGAGGTATTTGAGCTGGGTCCAGCAGGAGGAAAGGGTTCGCAGATGGAGAGGAAAGAATTGGCACAGGGAAGGACTGCTGGAAACAAAGGCAGGCTGGGGAGGAACCGCAAGGTGAGTAAGAGTGCCCCCAAGCGGCCAGGCTGGAACAGATGCGATCAGGTCAACACAGTAAATTGGGGGCCACCCCCAGGGAGGCGGAAACGTCAGACCGAGGGGTCAGGTTTTATCCCTTTGACAGTAGGGAGCCCTGGAAAGGGTTGGAGCAGTTCAGTGACATCCACACTATGTCACAGTCCTCACGAGGCTGCACTGGTCTGGCGAAGAGCCTGCATCTCGAGCCTGGCAGACCCCCAGGCATTTAGATGCCCCTTCAGCCCGAGCTGGCCCCTCACCACGGCTCCTTTCTCTCTAAGGGCTTCTCTCCTCCACAGCACGTGCTACGCCGGCCTCCGTCACGGGCCCCTTCGTCCCTGGCCCCTTCGTCCCTGTCCGTGTGACAGAAGGCAGCACGAGTTCTTTCCTACCGGAGAGCCAGATGAAGGAAAGATCTTGTCTTTTCTCCCGTGGCCTCCACAACCTCAAGATCTGAGCAGCATTAACACCCAGAGGAAAACTTTCTACACAAATGGTAACAATAGACAGAACTTGAAACTCAAGCCCAGAGACCCAGATTCCACACATAATGGCCGGGGCCGGAATGAGCTCATAATCACCCGAGGGGCGGCTTCGGAAGTCACGGCCGAGGCGGGAAGGATCAGAGGCCCGGAGACAAGCAAACGCGCTACTGATCTTCAGGAAAGGATGAGTGCGCGTTTCTGGAAACTGCCATCTGGGGGCCCTGACGCTGGCTCTTCGAGCGTTAATGGAACAGATGTTAGGCAAACAAACGCGTGAGTGCCTGCTAACGAAGCCCTGATTAATAATTGGCTTCGAAAGAACAAAGGCGGCTGCCAACTAGCCCCTGAACCGTTTCAGACAGAACCCAAGAGCAACCACGACGGCGATTCGGTTTGTGAGTGTGAGGGCTCGTAGCCCCCTAGACACGGAGGAGCTACTCGGACTGAAAACCCTCGAGAGCACTGACACACTTGGTTCTCGAAGGAGCTGTCATCGACAGGGCTGCAGCGATAACAGGCCTCCGGTAACTGCTGAAAGAGGGAGGGAGGGTATCAGTGCAACGTGTGCATCGTTCCGGAGAGGGAGGGGGCACAGAAAAGGGCACATGCCAGGGAGGAGGCCAAGGCCATGGGCAGCCAGGAGGGGGGTGGGGGGAGCAGTGAGCTAGGAGAGTCTTCAAGACATCCTGGTGACCGTCCCTCCTTGGTTCCTTTCAGCCCATCAGTCAGATATCTGTTCCCGAATGTCAAGGGAACAGATATCTGAGTGGGAATTTCAAGGAGATTTCAAGAAGGAGGTGAGAAGGGTCTTTTTTTTTTTTAATCACTGGGATCTAGAGCTTTCTAACAGCTAGTAGGGATGTTAGGGGTCACCTAGTGCAGCCCACTTCAGATGAAGAAACTGATGTCCTGAAGGGTCCAGGCCAGGGCCGCCCAGGGACCAACTGACCCTAATATGCAAAGCTCAGGCATAGTCGTTACTGATATAAAAAGAATGTCCTATGAGAGAAAAGAGAATGTGATCATCGTCTTGGCAATTAAATGCACCGAATAATAATGGTGTTGTAAATGATTTGTGGAATAAGTCAGAGGTAAATAAGTAACCAAAATCTAATAACACACCCTTACACTTCATAAGAGCTTTTATTAACTCACTTGACCCTCTAACAATCCTTCAGGAGAATGAGAATAAGTAAAAGTTACCATTTTACAAATGACCAAAGTGAGCGTCAGGAAATGACTTTCACAAGGTCACTCAGCTAGTAGCTGGCAGGTGTGGGATTTGAACCCAAGTCTTCTGAGGTCCTTTATTGAAGCAGAGACTCTGGGAGTTGGAGATGACCCAAGAGATCATCTAGTGGAGGGACGGTTTCACCAACGAAATGGGGCAGAATTCCATGGAGGGGACCCATGAATACCAAGCTATGCCTCAGACAAGCGCCCATTCCCAGTCAGGTTCATGGCCAAGCCCTGCCTCTGAGAACACTAGTATGATTGAGAGCAGGACTAGAGGGTTGACCTTTACAAATTAAATTATGACCAACTTTTTCCATTACACACAACATATATAGATTGATGGCTGCCATTTTCTCTCACTCTTTCTTTCTTTTTTCTTTCTGCTATAGGGAGAGAAAAACAAGCAAAAATGATTTATGTAGAATATTCATGGAAAAACCTGGAAACAGCTGACCATGTTTAGACCAAGCCATTTCAAATGTTTTCAGGCACCTGGGCTCACAGACGCGCCTTCACTCGTACACATCGTTTCTGCTAGGAAAACGCCTGCTGGTTCCGGTGGCGGGACCGCAGGTATCGGGGTGGCGGGGCTCCCTCATCCTGCTCGTGCCCTATAATCACCTGGAGAGCGTTACAAACAGATGCAGCCTGGACCCGCTCCCCGGTGCAGATTCCCACTGCGTTGGCCTGTGGGTGGATCCAGAGCTTGCTTTTTTTTTTTTTTAAGATTTCCAGATGATTCTAATATGCAGCCAAGGTTGAGAACGACAGTTTATAGAGCTCGGTAAAGGGTGCCATGGCTTCCAGATGTTCTGGGAGTTTGAGAAACCACAGCTTTAATGGTTTAACCTTTAAATGGATTAACCTTTAAATGCATTAGACATGTTGCTTGGCCGAGGCATCATTTTTTAAAATTTTGAATTAGAAGACCATAAATATTTTACGCTAGTGTTAAAAGTTGGGAAAGTTCGCGGAAAGATCCAGACTTTCTGCTGCTCTGGGAAATGGTGCGATCTAGTCACGCGGGACCCATCGTCCTAACCGCGGAAATCAGCAGGAGCGGGTGCCCCCTTTTTAACGGGGCGTGTGTCCTCCAGGTCCCCCCACCAGCCTTCCCTACACGCCCTACTCTCGCCGTGACGTGTGGGCAAGTGTCCTGAGCAGCTTGCCAAGGTGCTTGCGCTGTGGCTGTTCTTCAGGGTCATTGGCATTAGCTGCCTGGCTCTGCAGGCACTCACATTTGCAGCCCCTCTAAGGAAAGGTGTGGCCCTAGCTCACTGAGTCTTTAGCTTCAGTGGGTTTGAAAAGCAACAGGCAGCTTGTTGAAAAGACAGATTCCCCAGGTCTCGATGCCCAGAGATTCCGAGGGCGGGCTGGGGCCCGGGAATCCAGTGTCCACATTTCCCTGGCCTCCGGAACACTTGGACAAACACTGGCTGTGGGGCGGGGGTGGGGGGGGGGCACTGGCTCCAGAACCAATGAGTTCTCTCCATATGTGTTTTAATTTTCAGAATGAACAAAATCTACATGTAGCAGCCAGAAAAAAAAAGAAAGGCTGAAACATCCAGTTTTCTCAGGAACTCTGGGTTTGCCAGTTGTCTTAGCACCACCCTCTGATGAAAGCAGCAGTCTCCTGCCAAGCACAGGTAATTATAGCCAGAAGACAAAATGACACCACTCTGGTGATATCTTGATAATAAGGATGACAGAGGAACTGACAAAGCCGTGTCCTCCCTCCCACGTGGGGCGCAGAGCGCCTCGGCCTGCTGCCCACAGCAAGATCCAGGGGAGTCATAAAAGGGATTCCAGTCTTGCCTTCGCTCCCCTGAAGAGGCTGTGTTGACTCATCCCAGATGTAACCATAACATTGTTTCAGCTCAAAAGGACTTTAGGGATGATCTCTGACCTCACAGATGAGGAAACTGAGGCTCAGGGAGATGGCCTGCCCAGTTTTGTGTGGTGTACTTGCATAGTCTGCCTGAGAGTCTTTGTTGGAAAAAAAACAAAACAAAACACACACACACACACACACACACACACACACACACAACCTTTTGCTGAATGTGGGAGAACGTTTTGTGGCCGTGTCAAGCTCCCGCCACAAAAATAAGCGGAGCGAAGAAAGAAAGCACCCAGTTAGCACTCTACAACCTGCCCCCAGGGGTTGCTAAGGGGATAGCTCCTAACCTCTCCTGCTTGGTCCAACGTGTTGTTGATCAGAACTCTATCGGAGTGTAAAGGGTAAAGGTAGGACTCGGGATGTGTATTCTGCACACTTGCGCTGGTGAGCACCGGCAGTCACTCCTCCGCAGGCAGGAGGACTAAGTTAGAGTCCCTGCTTTTGTGGGGCAAATCACTTAACTGATGCGTGTCCGTCCCTTCATCCATGAAACTGGGAAATCGGGGGACCTGCGTGACAGGGCAGAGCCAGAGGGTGGCCCGGCCCTCTCTACTCCCACTTTGGTGCCTCTGTGCGGCGCCCCTGGGAATGATTCCTTCCTGCACTCTGCTCTCCGGGCACTCCTGCCACCTGCCCCAGCTCCCGCTGTCACTGCCCTCCCAGTGCCTGTTCCCTGGGTACAGGAGGGGGTTGAGAGTGACAACACGTGGGAGGGAATGTCATCTCGTCCCCTCTCAGCGGAAGCTCTGGCCCTGAGGCCCTGTCGGGGTCCCACCCCAGAGCCCAGAGCCCAGAGCCCAGAGCCAGCGCCCTGCCGTCCCTCACGCGTTCAGGACAGGCTTCCCTCGCCCCAAGCCTCTGGTGAGGGCTCTCGGCTCCTGCTCGGCATCTGTTGGGCGTTCCCATCTGCCCACTGCCTTCTTTATAAGTAGCGTGCCTTGTGCGGCTGCCTCTGCAGGCCTGGCTCAGCACCTGACCAGCTGCAGGGCGGGCCCAGGCCATGTCTGCTCAGCCTCTGTGTCACCTCCAACAGCTGCAGAGAGTCTGGGCCTGCTTCCTGTTTGCACCTGCGAGCCTCCTTGGCATTGCCCGTGTCCCACTGGACCCTGCCCCCTCACCAGGACAGCATCGTGCTCAGCAGGTTAGCTCCCTGCCTGGCCATGGCTCCCTGGCCCCAGGGACAACCCACTGCCTGCTAGTTTCACAGTCCTGGAGCTGCAGCCTGGAGCTGCTCAGCTCTGCCCTGGCTTCCCCAAGGGTGTCCACCCGTTGTGCCCCGGGTCTGCACAAGATGGAGGTCCACCGGCACCTGTGTGCCCTGGCAGCTCCCTGGCTCATTTGCTCTCAGCTGGGGATTCCAGGCTGGCTGGGCCCTGGTGACTCACAGTCACTCCTCCCTGGGACTCCGCCTCCTGACCTGGATCATTAAGGTCCCAGTCCTTCCCCTCTTGCCCTAGGCTCTCCTCAGACCTCTCCTGCTGGCCTTAGCTTAGCTTTCCACTCTCCTCAGAGTCTATGTCCTCTACCTCCTCCCTTCATGGGTGCCCAGGGGGTTGGAGGCTTAGCCATCCAGCTGCTGGTGCTTCTGGGAACGGTGGACCCCTGGCAGGCCCTGAGTCAGTCCGCCCTAGAGGGCTCTGGGCAGGGAGCACCAGTTCTGCTTTGTCCTCCAGCCTCGCCCCACACAGTAGCCACATCCGAAGGCAGGGCGTTCCCAGCAACCACAGGACACGAGAGTGGGAACCCCTCGCCAGGAATCGCAGGCTCCTGGGCCTGGCCTGGGCCAGCCCCCACCGGGCCCTTTTGCACCTTCGGCCAGAGTGGTCCACCCATCAGCCACCCGCTCCTTCTCTCTAGCCAGGCTCCCTTCCACTCCTGCAGTTCCCTCCTGCTGACCACCCTCACCCTGCCTGCTCCACCCCGCCGCCCAGCCCCCAGTCCGGGAACTGCCCCCCTCCCAGGTGAGCCTGGCCGAGGGAGTGGGTTGTTGAGGACACCTGCTGGTAGGAAAAGCAAACAGAGCTGCGCCCAGAGGCCCTGGCTCACGTTCCTCCTTCCTGGGCTGTCAGTTTCTCAACATCTGCCAAATCTCTCTCTCTCATGTTGAAGTTTTTAAAATCCCTTTTCAGTAAACACACATGACTCCCACACGTGTACAAACACACAGACGTCTCGCTCAGAAGCCTCCCAGCTCCTCGGCACAGACGGAGCCTCCTGGGAGGACACCCTCCCAGACACACGTCCCCTCTGCACCCACAGCCACACCTCCCACCCACTCTTCCTGTGACACGCAGACACAAAAGGGCCGCCGGCACACCACTGCACATCGACGAGAGCCACGACCCTGCCTTCCCTGCGCCCACAGGCCTGGAAGACACCCACTGGGAGAACAGGAATCTGTCTACTGTACAAATCCAGACTATACATCGCCCTAACGCACGTGTACTCGTGAAGAGAGGTGCATGCCCCTCCCCCATGCCCACAGCTCACGTGGGTCACGTGTGTGGCGGAGAGGGAAGGACCCAGAGGGCAAGGAGATGCCTCTCGCCTGGGATCCAAAAGCTTGACACACATTAAGTTGGGGCAGGTACTCTTCTTCCCAAGAACTGGAAAAGCTGAACCAGAGACGGGCCACCGTGAGCTGTGGAGAGCAGGGGGGAGACAGAGGTCTCCAGATTCGTGACACTGCGGGGCGTGAGAGAGAGCCCGCCCTGCCCCTTTACAGCACCTATATGCCTCCAGTCGCCTATCGGCTCGCGCGTGCGAGCACACATATTAACGGGACCACGACACGCAATCCCGAATTAAAATCGGTCAAGGATGTGATGCGGGTTGAGCGAGCCGCTCAGCCCAGGGCTCCTTGGCCGCCCCGAAGTGGCCTGGTCTGACCAGCATGGCTCTGTCTCCCTCCCCGCCCACGCGCCCGGTCCCAACGCACCTCCTGAGCCTCAGTGTGGGCGAACCTGGGGTGCCCCGCCGGGTGGCCACTGCTAGGCCCCCCTCGGTGGAACTCCCTCCTCCAGGTCAGACCCTCCAGAGCAGACACGCCAGTGAGAGTTTGGACTTACTGTGTTCCGCCAGCCCCTGGATCATGTCGAATTTATGGATTTCTTTGGCATAGTACTCCCACTCGGTGTTCTCCTGAGTGCAGCCGTCCTCCCTCTCCTCCAGCAGCTCCCGGGTGCTGTTGTAAAGGGCCAGGATCTGGTAGGGGACATGGGTCATCACCGAAGGCTCAGGGGGACTAGTGAGCCTGAGTTTGCTCAAGATCTGTCCCCTAATGGCTTCCACCCTCTTCTTCTTGATGTGGCTGAAGTCCAAGGTGGTGCAAGTGGACAGAGAGACGCTGACCGTGGCAAAGTTCAGCAGGGCCAGGACCGCCAGAGCCCTTTGCAAGTGCATCTTCATGGGCGAGCCCGGGGGAGAGGCCAGGGGGGCTGTGAGGCCTGGCGAGGGGGAGACCCCAGCAGACGTGCAGAAGGAGGGAGGAAAACCAGGCGGCCTCCCTAGATCCCGAAGACTGAGGCTTGGCAAGAAGGTGCATGAACTCACTGCACTGCGAGAGCTTCAGGACTTCCAGGAAGCGCTGGCAGCCCTGAGCGCGAAGAAGCCGACTGTGTGCCTTGCAGCGCTGGGGCTCTTCTCCATGTGTCTCAGCAGGTTCTGCTGGGCTCTGGCTCCCAGCAGGCCAGGTGGAGGGCAGGCAGAGGGCTGGGAGGGGTGGCAAGGCAGCTGGGAGTAAGAAGGGAGCTGGAGTTTTTCCTTAGGTAAAAATAAATAGAGCAGATATCTGATATTGCCAAAGGCCTCTCGGCGATGGGGAGAAAGTGGGTTTTTTAAAGAAGGAGCGGGAGGACCATGGCTTGGGTCCCAAAATCAGAATCCTTGCCTCGCCCTGAAGGAGAATAAGAAAAGAGAATGGAAAAGAAAAGGAAAAAAAATGTTCAAAAAAAAAATTCAGATCACCAGTGAGTAGGTGGGGAGAGGCAGGGCCGGGCCGCTGCCGGCCCAGCTAAAGGTGAGGGCAGCGGAGGACACACTTGTCTCTCAGGCACACCATTCATGCTTTCTCTTTGGTTTACACCTCCTCGGGGCCTTTCTAAATGACTTTGTTCACGCTGCCTCTCGTCTTCCTTGGCTGGGATGTGGGGTTATGTGCGACTGGAAGGCAGAGAGGACAGGCCCCTGTAGCGCAGCCCCAATAATCCACTTGGACGCCCGGGGTCACCAGCACCTCAGCTTGTCTTCTCCCTCGGCCATTGCTTCTGTTCCCTGCTTCTCTTTTAAAAAATAAAAAAGGAGAAGAAAAATAAAATAGAAGCCAGCTCACTGCACGCCTGCTCCGGAAAGCTGTTTTTCCTTCTTTCGCATGCTTCTTCCCCTATCTCTCGCCTCCCTTGCTCATTCCCTCGGACTTGGCTTTCGTCTTCCCTCCCTTTCTCTCCCTCCTGCTTCTCTCTCTCCCTCTCCCTCTCTCTCACACACACACATGCACACACACTGCTTTCTCTATTTCTCTCTGCTGAAATTTTATACCTCCCTCCGATGACGTCTCTGGTCCGGGGTGGGGGAGGGAGGGACCAGCGCACGCAGCCTCTTTTGCTGCACGGTTTTAATGTGTTAACCAGGCGTAGGAAAAGCCGAGCCCGTTTGAAAAATACTTTGCGAGTCCTCTCTTTCAACGTGGTAACTGAACTTTTTTTCTTCTCTTGGAGTCACTCCTGCTACACGTTGACTGTTTTTCTGGAAAGTTACTCCGGTGAATCCCCTCCCTCCTCTCCCGCAACTCCTTCTCCCTCTCCAGCTGTCAGTCCGTCCTCTGCTGGGCCGGTCTTGCGCTGCCTCCCTGGCCGCCCCCTCCCGGGCCAGGCCGGGCCCTGGGCAGGGTCGGGAGCGCGCGGGGCCTGGGCAGCAGCGGCCGTGCAGCCCTCTCTGGAGGGTGGCGCTCGGGGTTGGAGCGGGCTCGGAGTAACTGGGTCCAGCTCCGCGGCCATCCTGGCCCGGATTCTTCATTGACAAGCTTGGAGTCGGGCAGCTTGCTGAAGCTTGGAGATGCTCCAGGGGCGCCGAAAATGGCGTTTTCCGGCAGATCGAGGGTGCCCTCTGGCGAGGCGAGACCGCCAGTGACACAGGCTCAGCGAGTCGGAGCCGAGAAGGCTGCGATCTGGGGTTGGGCTCCAGGGGAGAAAGAGCTTCGAGAGGGGCAGAGGAACACAAGCCCTCGGCCCTCGGGGAATACCTCCCCTCTCGGCCCCAAGCGCGTACAAGTGCACCTCTCCCTCCCCGGAGCCCTGCTCTGCAGCCGCTCTCGCAGAAACGTCCTCCAGATGTTCGCAGCCTCCCGCCCCGCCGGGGGTTCCGCGGGGCGCAGTGCCAGCGAGCACGAAGTCTGCAGCTGGCAGGCGCCCATTTCCCAGATGGGTGAGGGGAAGTTTTCTCTCCGTGTTCCTTCCTCTTCTCAGCCTAAGCTCCTAGGTGTTTTCCCAGCAGAGGATCCACACAGGACTGGCCTCTGTAACATGGAACCACTTTTCTGGTAATCAGTGTTGCTCCCTGGCACCCCACCCTGCCTCACCTCAGCTTCCTGGACGCATCCAGCCGGGACTGGCTTCTACTCCCAGCTCCCAGGCCACTAATTTAAGGAGATGCTCACTGGACCCTGGGGACAGCGGTGGATTGGTTTACAGTTGAGGAAACTGAGGCATGGAGCATTTTAAAAGGCCACACTGCTGATACGGGGTAGAGGCGATGTTTAACACAGGCTTTCTGGTTTGGGTAGGCATTGTCATTTGCATAACAAATGAGGAAACCTAGGTGTAGAAATAGCTTGCCTGGGGTCCCTTAGCCAGGATGTGTCAACACTGATATTTGCACTGAGTCTATTGCCAGTCTGTAACTACTGTGGCGCACTGCCTTTGAAATTCACCCAGCCTTTGAAAAAATATGTTTTGATGCTTACTACATACCAGGCACTGTTCTAGGCTCTGTGCATACAGCAGCGGACACAACAAACTATCAAAACGCTTGCCCTCCTGGAGCTGACATTCTGGAGCTGGAGGTGGGAGAGTAAAGAAGGCAATAAACTAAATAGATACAAGTCATGTAGTATGATAAAGGGTAAGTGCCGAGGTAGAAAATAAAACAGAAGGAGGACAGAGAGTGCCTACGTTGGGGCGACGTTGGAATGCAAAATAGATGCTGCAACTTTAAATCAGAGAAGGCCTTCCTGAGGCCTTTAAGCAAACACTTGCAAAATAGGCAGGAAAATGATTCAAGTCGTATTCTTCTGGACCCCACCTCTACTAAATCAGTCTCTAGGGACGGGGTCCTGTTGTATGTTTTCCAAACAAACCTCACAGGGGAGTCAGGGGCCCAGCAAGGTTCGGAAACCACTACGCTATGGCTCCTTTCTGCCTGGAGTGAGCTGCCATCCACCTTTGCCTTCAGGAAGTTGGGGAGGAAGTGGGAGTGAAGGTTTGGAAACTGGTTATAAGGTGGTGATGGTGTGGCTATGAATAAAAAATCTCATTCCACAAGAAATGAATGAAAAAAATCCAAAGATTAATTCCTTCTTCCTCTTCTTGGGCCAAGGAAGAAAGGAACAAGTGATTCATGGGATCCCGTATTTCATGTCTTGGATTTTTGGCGATGAATGTTTCTTCAGATTAAAATCTACTAGGGTATTCTCATTGAGAATCTGAGCTGGTAAGTAAAAGAGTTTAGGGCTAATCTTGAAGAGCAAGTACAAGGGAGGAAACCGAGTCCCGGAGAGGCTCTGCCTGGCTACACAGGTGGTTATCGGCAGAGCGAGGGTGGGACCTGAACTCTCCTGGCGTGCCCGCAACGCTGTCGCTGTCACGCTGCCTCCCAGTAAACGTGTGGATGATTAAACTGAATCATTTACTGGCCATTTAAGAAATGCTTGCAATCTAGTCTTAGGGCTGCTATTCACACTTCCAGGTCCTCACATTTAAGCAGCCGTCGTCTAGGCCTTACCCCGAGGGTGGTATTGAAAACATTGCTCACTTGAGGGCCATGAGCACATTATCTGGGCATCCCAGATGACCAGGGACAGAGCGCCAAGGACAGAGCCAGTGGTGTTGACTTGGGGGATCTTGTATGGAGAGCCAATGAAAACTCAACTTGCTTGCCCCATTGAGCTGGTTTTATATAGGAGTTCAGAAGAGGCCTCCCCAAGATGTGCCACTTTGACATGTAAATTATTTTGAGCTAAAGAAAATGGAACCCTTTAGGCAGGGGGCAAGGGAGGGAGGAAGAGAGGGAGAGAGAGAGAGAGAAATAACAGTGTGTGGTTGCCTTTTGCACACCCTGACCTGGGGACCCGGCCCGCAATGCAGGCATGTGCCCTGACTGGGAATCGAACTGCTGACCCTTTGGTTCACAGGCCGGCACTTAATCCATTGAGCCACACCAGCCAGGGCTCATGATAAACTTTTATTTCTCCTTTAAAGAATCTAACTTAGAGGCCTTACCCATAATAAGAATTATCACCAGAAATAATTTTTATATCTATATCTCTGTCTATAAGGTAGGGCAAGCCTCTAATGACCACATCTGCCTTCCATTCCTGCAGATGATGTTTGTCCCCTCTGAAGTCCCAAGGTGCCTTACTTCATCCCTAGGTCAGAATGTCACATGTACCTTATTTCCCCTTTTTGACTCTGAACTTCTCATGTGTATGGGGTCTCTGACTCTCTCATATATGTGGGGTTCTCATACTTATATGATTAAATTTGGTTATTTTCTCTTGTTAATGTCGCATGTCAATTTGATTGTTAGACCAGCAGAAGGAACCTAGAAGGGTAGAGGAAAACTCCTTACTCCCCCACACCGAGTATTTGGGGAGCTCTTCCTCTCCTGGCCTTCTCCTGGGGAGAATGGCTGGCACCCCATAATATGTGCTGAAGAAGAATACTCCAGGAAGATATGGTGTCAGAAAGGCGCCTGGCCCTGCTGCTTAATGATTTTCCTCAAGTCATCACTTGCTCCTGTGTCCTCAGGTGTTGAATGGTTGAATGTTGCTGCTGCTTACTTTATGGGTTGTTGGAGGAATTGTTTGACTTTTGACAGTTATTACTACTCAGGTATTTGATGTGTTGGTTCAGCCTCTCTGTAAATTTCTTGAAGGCAGAGATTATATACATTGTATTTTCCGTTATAAACCATTAACACCTGATCCCTTGTAGCCTCTTTTCTCATCTGTCCAATGGAGACAATGCAACTTATCTTGCTTCCCACACAAGGCTGTTATGCCCTTCACGTGAGCTGATAATGGTGAAGGTCCTCTGTGCATTGCAAATACAATGGGAGCGATCAGAATAATTACTACTATTAGTAGTGGTGCTTTGCATTTATGTAATAACTTACGCATTTAAAAAAGGATAAATGTTTTTTCGCTGTCCCAGAGGAGCAGCCTTAGCGAAATGTAATGCCTGGAGTTTTCTCCCAGAAGTCAAGTGAGGCAGGTCTACGAAATATTCAACTTGGAGGGTGGGACAGAGAATTCAGAAATCATTCCGCGACCCTTTAAATACTAGGACGGAAGGGCCGAGCCATCGTCAGGGACGCCACGGGGCAGCTAGGTTTCCAGGAAGTGACGTAGGGCGACCGCGGTGATGGAGGACTTGCTGGACCTAGGCGAGGAGCGGCGCCGTGGCCCGGCCAGCTCCGTGAGGACCGACGCGGGGCCGGGTTGGGGCCGGAATTTGGAGGGTGGGGAGGAGCGACTCCGCCGGCCCAGGCTTCCCCGCGAGGCCTCAGTGCGGCTGTCCCTAGCGGCCGGAGCGGGCGGGCCCGCGTCGCTGTGCAGGGCCGCGGGAGAGGAGGCGGTGGCTTCATCCGCCCCGCCCCCGGGGCAACGTGGGGCTCAGCTCTGGGGTGTTCTTCGTTTCAAATTTTCAAAAAGTGGGAAACTGCCTCGGCGCCCGCCGGCCTCTGGGACCAGTGGGAAATTACCCCGCTCTTCATTGCTTTCTGGCGCCCCTAGTGCGAACTCCTCCGGAAAGGGCAATTCTGAGGGTGACTGGAGGGGCTCGGCCCGGGTCCCACCTGCACCCATTCCAGAGCTTTCCCGTCTGACTTTTCCGGCCGCAAGGTCACGTAAATAACGCACTGTTTTAGGCTTGGAGGGCAAGCATTCAGGCAGCCGGGGCAGGGTGGGGGTGTGTGTGGGAGGGGCTTGTGTGCCCGCCACCGCCAGGGGGAGGAGGGCTTTGGCTCAGTTTTTCTGGCCGAGAACCTGAAGACTCAGGTTTATAACGTGGAGTGGCCCAGTGCTGGGGGCTAGAGGTCAGATGTAGTATAAAGCCCTTGCGAGGGTTAAAAAAAAAGTGAACCTCTGGGAACCTTGATTTCCTTATCTCCAGGATGATGTTGATGCCTAATTTAAGGAGTTGCAGTGAAGATGAAATGGGTAATGCACGGAAGAGCAATTAACACCGTGCCTGGCATACGCTAAGTTATTAGAAGACGTTAGCTGCTGCTGTTCTGCTGCTGTGATTTGCCCAAGGTTATGGAGTCAGCAATAAACCAAGCTAGATCCCAGACTCAAGTTCAGTGATTTTTGTTTTCTTTTGACTCCATCACAGCCCCATCAAGGCTTTTTACCTCTAAAATTGCCAAGATCACATTCATGTAAAGGTTGAGACACAGGACAGATCTTTAGTTTACACTGTGGAATCTCTCTGTTTTGTTTTTTTTGTTTTTGTAAATTTTTGTTTTTTGTTTTGAAATGCTCCATAGCAAAGATGTCCTCCAAGGTACTGAATGAAGGCACCTCTCTGCGGGAGATCTGAAGGACAGGAGCAAATTGTTGTAGGATGAAGCAGGTTGCTTGACTGACCAAGGAGAATATTAGGTCACAGGCCCTTCTGATACATGAACTTGTTTAGCATCTCAGCATATGGATGTAATTCTCCATTCATCCTGTCAACAAATATTTATTGAGCCCTTACTGTATATCAGGCATTATCCTAGGTGCTGGCAATATAGCAGTAAATAAAACAAAGCCCCCCATCCCCCGCCCATCCCATGGGGCTTATGTTCCAGTGGAGCAAGATGGACAATACATAGACTATAGATTTAAAATATATCAAATCAGGTAGTGAAGTTGTTTTTCTACCCGTCATACCTGTGGACTTATTCAGGGTCTTCAAAAAGTTTAAAACTTTAATTATGAGAGATACCTTCTATAAATAGAATTTAGAGACAAGAGCGTTGAATTTTTGTTTTAGCACAACCGCTGCATTGGTATGCCACGTTTAGATGTCCTGCTGTTGTCAGTGGAAACGGGTAACTACAAGTGAAGGGGTGGAATTGTCTGCCTTGGAAAAAAAATGAGCTGCTGCCCTGGCTGATGTGGCTCAGTAGATTGAGCACCAGCCTGTGAACCAAAGAGTCGCCGGTTTGATTCCCAGTCAGTGCACATGCCTGGGTTCCAGGCCAGTTCCCCACTGTGGGGGCACAGAAGAGGCAGCTATACATGGATGTTTCTCTCCCTATCTTTCTCCCTCCCTTCCCCTCTCTAAAATAAATAAATACGATTTAAAAAATGAGCTGCTTATTATCAGAGAGATTGTTTCCCTCATACCTGAAACCTAAGTGATTGATTAAAATTTGAAATGAAAACACTCCATAAGGGTTTTTATGCAGCTCCCATGGAACCACTTTCAATTTATGGGTGCAGTCAGTTCTTAGACCATCTTAAAACTGAAATCCCAGCATAGGATAGCGGAAAGAACTCAGGATTTTAAGACAAGAAGGTTTTGCTTCTTAGATTTATGTCTGCCACTTAATTGGCCTTCCTGGCCCTCAATTTCCCCACTTGTAAAATGAATGTCCTAGTCTCTGTTATTCTGAGAATCAAATGAAGCTATATCAAATCAGATCTAAAAGTATCCTGTTTATTTTTTAAAGTTAATAAATGAATAGATAAATATTTTTAACACCCCTTTGTCTGCCTAAGTTTTGTTCGTGTGCTGGGAAGCATTTGAGATATAGAGCCTGCAGATGGCTTGTTTGATGACTAAGCATTTGAAGTGTTCTGGTTTCCAAAGCTAATGTCTCAAAATTCTTGTAAAAGATTTCTTTTCTTGTCATAAATGGAAATCCAAGTAGTGTGCATGTTAAAGCAAGTGCTATCTATTTCTCTGGTGGCAGTTACCATGGAAATTAGGCATTCTTTCCAAAACTCCTTTTTAAAAATTTTTTATCCTCATCCGAGGACATGCTTATTGACTTTAGAGAGAGGAGAAGGGATGGAGAGAGAGAGAGAGGAATATCAATTGGTTTCTTCTCACAACCTAGGTATGTGCCTTGACTGGGAATCGAACCTGCAACATTTTGGTTTATAGTACAACAGTCCAACCAACTGAGCCACACTGGCCAGGGCATCCCCAAAACTCCTTTTTGAGAACTCTTTCCATGTCAAGTTGCAGCTTTGAAATTAGGTCTTCCTAAAATCTTGCGTAGGAACATGGGAGCCTTTACCACACTCTTCTTTGACTGTGGCATGAGGTCACTCCCTGTTCTAGAGCAATTTCTAGCTTCATTGCTTTGGGTGGAAATGATCTATGGCAGTTAAACAAAAACCTTATGGTCGTTTACCCATGAATTTCCTAGTCTTCTACCAAATATTGGGTTAGCCAAAAAGTTAGTTTAGTTTTTCTGTATGATGGCTCTGGTAGCTCTTAGTTATCTTTAACTTCATTTGAAACAATTGTGTTACATTGTATCATGCTAGCTGTCACATCAGTGTGCAATGAGAAAAAAGTATCAAAATTGGCAAATTTTTGTGCAGCCAGTTTTAATATTGAAGATGGAAGAAGATACACAACATTTTCAGTGTACTATGCTTTATTATTTCAAGAAGGGTAACAATGCAACTGAAACACAAATTTGTGCAGGGTATGGAGAAGGTGCTGTGACTGCTCGAACATGCCAAAAGTGGGGGTTTGTGAAGTTTTTGGTACTGTTGACATTTTGGGCGAAATTCTTTGCTGTGCGGTCATCTTATGCATTGGAAGATGTTTAGCAGCACCCCTGGCCTCTACCCACTAGAAGCCAAAAGCAGGAAATACTCAAAATATCCAAATCAGTAGTTATTAGTGAAAATGAAAAATGTGTCTTATTTTATGGAAAAAACTAAACGGACTTTTTGGCCTACCCAATACTCACCTCAGTTGCTTTCAGGTTTTGGAGCATTTTCTAAGAATATCCAAATTGCTCAAATCCCATCCTCCACCATGTATTCATAAATCCAGTTCTTGCCTACCATCCCAGAGTTGTCCTCACAGTGGCTCAAAGATGTTTGGGTCAGCAGTGCCCCTCATTTCTCCTTTTAGGGGGCCAAGATGGGTCGCCGAGCTCAACAGGAGTCAGCTCAAGCCGAGAATCACCTAAGTGGCAAGAATTCTTCAACTCTGACCGGAGAGGTGGGTGCTAAAAAATCTGAGGAAATGCTAAAAGTGAGCGGTTCCTTAATGAGCAAAGACTTGGTATTCCGTATTTCTTCTCTTGAATGTCAGCTCTCCTGTCTTGATTTGGGAATTCTCTTCCTTGGCATTTGTCCTGTTAGCTAGAGATGAAAAAGAAACGTTTTTGTCTTTGATGCCAGAGTAGTTTCTGTGCATTGCTCTATATTCTCAGGGAAGAACTTTCAGAAGTTAGCTGAGAAAGAGACTGGCAAGTTTCAAAAGCTAGTAGAAATCCAAGTTTTTATTTCTGCTGAATAAGGCCAGCGAGGCATGCTGGCGACAGAAAGTTACGTTACACAACTGGACGTTGGCTTTCACTGCCGACCTGCGCCTTCTGCAGCTTTCGGGCAGGAAGGGGATCAGTACTGGCCTTACTTTCCTGGAAACTTTTCCCCTGAGTGGCCTGGAATTATGGGAATTGATCCAGCCTCTTTGAGGAGGGTGGGTAATCCCAATGAGCAATACTTTTAATGCCAGGGTACTATTTTCGGCAGTTTAGTCAGAGCCTTTCTTCACCCTCCTCTGTCCGTTTGGAAAAACTGTGCCCTTTTCAAGAGTTAGCTTTAGGCTAACCCCTGTGTCAGCTCTTCTCCGGGCTGACGTGGGGCTCTGTCCTCTCGATTCCCACAGTACCCATTCTAGAACATCTCCCAGGCTCTGCTAATTTTCACTTTCTCCGTCCACCACTGGACAGTGAGTTCTCAGATTGCAGGAGGCGTGGCTTCTCAGCTGCCCAGCTTGTGGGCCCATAGAAGGTTTAGAGTAGATGAGGGGCTGTCACTGACGAGCCTCTGGGCCGGGAAGGCTCGTGAGCACAGCGTGCAGGGGACAAGACACAGGCACACTTCACTTATGTATCACGTATATAGGAACAGTCTTCATTTTTATAGGAAGTAAGTTTTTCTTCATTTCTTCAAGTGCACCACATGGCCCTTCCAATGTATTTTCATTTCCTCACTTACTGTAGCAATGCGGGTAGAGAGAATCGTTTTTGTAGTCCAAGATACCAACCGCGCCAGTGCAGAAACGCTGGCAGCAGACCCGTGGCCTCGTTGCCTGCAGACAGTAGGGAGAGAGCGAGCGGGGATTTCGGGAACTGGAGGCCCCGTGTCCCTTCTAGAGGGGTAAGCACCATATAGCCAGAGCTGACTGGTGCTGTGGGGAACACGGGCCCAGTATTGCCAACTCCTCTGATGCTGCGGGAGATGCTGGCCGTCTAAAATTTTATGTGAAAGCAACACATTTTAGAGGTTAGCAATTACAAGAATTAAATTGACGTATGGCCTAGATTAGGCCCTCACATACTGAGGGTTGTCAGTATGTGACTTTGGCCATAGCACCTCCATTAGAGGGCTTATTACATTGTGTTGTGACAGGTTATCTCTCTGGCTCCCTCATTAGACGTGAGCTTCTGGAAGGCAGAGCTTGGGTCTTACCATTCATTGTACGCACAGAACAGACACGCGTGGCACTGCAGAGGATGAAGGGGCGCAGTGCATAGTGTGTGATGGGCGCTCTTAGAAGCTGAGTGGTGCTGTCACTAGGTGAAGGGTGGGCCCGCAGTGCAACACCGGAGGCGCAGTTCAGGGGATGGGATGGTGGTGTAACGTAGGGAGAGAGTGATAGAAGTACCAGCCCCAACCCTGGATGTCAAGCAGCGCGAACTGCAGTAGTATACGTCTTTAAAGAGAAAATGGGCAAGCAGGTGACTGGGTTCATGGAAATTTCTTCTTGGCCTCTGGCTACTTGAGACTGTGGTTCCAGGAGGAGCCATTCCAGCACCAGAGCATTTATTTATTCAACAAATATTTAGTGAAGCTTACTGTGTGCAGGAGCCATTTTAGGGGTTGGCATATCTCCGTGAACGGAAGAGACACGATTCCCTGTCCCGATGGAACTTCCATTCTTGTTGTCGTTGGCAGTTAGGAAGACTGATGACAAGTGTGCTTCGTGTGGAGGGTGCTGTAACCTGTACGGTGGGGTCAGTGAGCCTGTGTCGGGCCAGGATGCCCCGGAATGACTGATGGTGGCCTCGGAGCCCTGTGCAGCCCTCACACCCAATCAGCTCCTCGGCTGGAGGAGTGAGCGCCGTGCATCCGCCCACCCGCTTTCCTGGGCTTCCAGGCAGGAGGCAGCCCTGGGAGCGCATAGCTCCAAAGCCACAGACTGATGGACCTTTTAGGGTTTCATCCTTCCTTGGGATACCTCCTTATTTCCTCAGAGACAGCTTCCTTTTTTTTTTTTTTTTCACTCTGGGCATCAGCATTTTTCTAGGAGAACATGATGAACTCATTCTCTTCTTCACCTGATTGGTTCATCTGACAGTGAAATGCCAGTGAGGATTCCAGGGTTCCTCCTCTCCCTGGGTTAGTCGGGGTTTAAAGCAGCGCGGGCAGCTCCCCCCCACCCCCGGGGCCAGATGCTCACTGTGCTGTGTGGGACATTTTGGCTGTTTCTTTCTAAAATTAGATCCCAAGATTTGTGTGTGTGCCCATTTACATTCCGAGCGTATGACTTGATATATTTATTTTTGTTCTCTTGCTGACTATATTCTAGGATGAAGCTATTCATGAAAACGTAAATAGGGTACCTAGGAGCTGTCAGACTTAGTGGAGTTACTTTAGATTTAAGTAGGGATTAGCTCAGGCAGTTATTTTAGAGTGAGGTGGTGAGTTGGAAGCTCTGGTGAAGGAAGCAGAGACGTGGTCTGCTGGAACAGATGGAACGCAGGACTTGGCCTCAGAAGCCCAGGGACTGTTAATTAATTGCTTGGATCTTGAACTGGTCCACTCATCTCTCCAGCCCTTCATTTTATTGTCTGTCAAATGGTGGTAACAGTCCTGTTAGGTTTGTGTGGGGATGAAGTGAAATGCGCATTTAAAAGCACGTTAGTAACCTGAAAAGCACGGGTGCAGACGTCCATTCATTCGGTCAGCTAGAGGGCAGGTGAGTGTCGCACAGTGCTCTGCTGTCCTTAGCACAGGGCAGCAGAGAAGGAGGGTGTGAGCCTGGGTCTCTTTTGGAGCCGACTTGGAAGGCTCTTCAGGGCTGCTCCTCCTCCTCTCTCCATCGGCTGACCAGTAGGGGTCCAAAGCAGTTCCTGTGCTTTCTGGGTGGGCAGCAGGGGTCATGGGGTCGCACTGGTGGGTCCTACAGGCCCGGGCCGAAATCCTCGCTCTGTCACACGTTAGTTCTGTGATGCTGACCAAGCTTGTTACTTAACCTCTTTAAGTGTCAGCTTTCTCACTGGTAAAATGGGATATTAATATTCCATGCTCCACAAGGGTGGCTAGGAAGAAAAGATGAGGTAATAGACGTGAAGCCCTTAACGCAGTCTGACATGCGAATGCACAGTATACCGCTCCGCATCGTCTCTCTAGAGCTCGGGTGTGTTTTTTCAGTTTGCCATGACCCGGTCTGCTGAGGTCGAAAACTGGTGGTCTTCAGTCTGAATTTAGCGTGCAGTGATGTCTTATTTGATCATTTGGATATTTTATTTATTCTTTTACTCGATTGCTATCATTAAAAATTAGGAAACTTTGTGTGAAAATCCAGATTTTGGACTTCTCTTTAAGATCAGACGTTGTGGCACAGTGGGAATGCTGGGCCGGCACTCCCACATGGTGGCCGTTGGCTGGAGCTGGTAACAGAGCTCACGTACGTGCCTCCCGCCCGCTCCAGTGCACCACTGCCTGCTTGGATACACCTGGTCGGGCTGACTCACATTTGGTCCGCGGGGCTTCCATTTCCATTTGCGTTTCAAACTCCCGCTCATCTAGGATGGATTGACTTTCAGGTGTCCTGGAGTGTCTGTGAATGTTGAATTTGGCTTTTTTTGGCCACTTGTCACAGTGCAGGCTTGGGTCACTGGGCATGTATTTCAGTCAGTATTTTGGGTTGGCATTAGTTATTGAGTTTTCCCAGAAGATGGTTCTGTGATGAGTGTCCCTTGTCTACAGTGTATAACTTTCTCTGTGGAAACCAGCTCTGAGAGTTGAACTGGATTTCTGTGCTTGAACTCACACCTCCCATCAGTTTAAATGACGCTGCTCTTCCATACCACTCCTTCAAGAAGACTCGACATTTCTACCACAGAGTTATACTATCATACACTGAGGTTGGAGAAAAGTAATCTTGGGCATATCCTCTCCAGCGCTGGCCTCTTTTGGGCGAGCCATTTCTCCCTTGGGTCTAGGCCTCTTCGTGACTTCGCTTTTCTTTTGCAGATTGTCTTTTTTAATAATAATAATAACGATTTTAGCTGACATTGGAACAGTGGCTGCCTCTCTGTTCATTACCCCCAGTACCCTGTCTAGGCTTTGTGGTAGCTGGTGAGGTAGGCACCGTTGTTATCTGATCTTGGCTAAAGACACCGAGACTCCGAGATGCGGGGTGACTTGTCCAGAGTCATGTAGCTAATCTCCGACTCCAGTGTCTCCGACTCCAGTGTCTCCGACTCCAGTGTCTCCGGCGCTGGCCAGGTGCTTAACCGCCACCTAACCTTTCCTGCCTCCCAGCTAGGTCGATGCACTGACGTCCCCATAGAGAAAGGCTTTTGGAGAGAGAGAGAGAGGACAGATTTGGGGTTATTCTCTCTCTCGGAACCCTTTTGGAGAGGGAGTCACTTCTCCCTTGATCACCCTTATTCATCCACTTGTCTGGAGCAGTGTTTGAGTCACAGCTGTTCCCCTCGTCTCCCCCCATCCCTTCGGGGCTCCTCCAAGGGCTCAGAGCTGAAAGTGAGCCAGATTCTCTCGAAGGAATCTCAGAAATGCTGCTGGGCTCATGTTCCCAAATTAGGCCAGTTTCCTCATCCCCAGCGGCTCTGCTCAGCCGGGGCTCCCTTGGCGCCCGGCGTTACGTCTCCCGCCCTCCGCCCGTCCCCGGCCTGGTCTGCCAGCCGGGCGGTTATTTTCAGCTCAATAGGGTTATCTGCTGACCCTTTTTGGTGACATTTT